TTTTATAGTAGTTAAGATAATACGCAGTTGTAGGGTGGTGAGAAAAATGTTTAGAAAAATTGAAATATAATAAACGTCGACGAATATCGCCCACAATAATTATCAAGTCCGTTGATGATTATCAACAGCGATATTTGTTAGTAAATGTTATTGATAGTATTTTCATCTATGGATTTTTGTTTGTCGGTAATTTGTCGAAAAACAATTTACTAACGAATTTGTTTTGTTTTTCGACTGTAAATGCCATCAATAAATCCAGTTCTTTTTTTAGTAGAGTGACCCAGTTTATGCAAATGGAATAAATTTTCGATTTTCAGAAGCATATGCAAGCAAAAGTCTCATCAAGTAACAAGAAGAAACCAATATACTCCTCTAAACCAAACGCCGAGTGAAAACTTTAGAAAAACCCTTAGTGCTAAATTGATGTCAACACTTAGAAGAAGCCATCTCCTCCAAATACTGACGGGAATAGGCATACCTATACCATCCAAATCTAAACTTTCTTATTAATTTTATATGTAATTGTTTTACATTTGCTTTTTTTTCCATAAATCAAATTATAACTATTTTTATTATATTTCAATAAAAAAACTTATAAAATTATTGTTCAAAAAGATTTTATATTGATGGTGGTTAGTGATCATTTATATTTATATGAATATATTCATGACTTTCTTTTAAGTGGTAGATAAAGTGACATTATATTAAGTCTGAGTAATATATATCACAAGACTAATTTGTGTCAAATTAACACTAGTACAAAATCAACCTTTTAAGTCTGTTTTGAAATTAGCAGACCTAATAAATGTGTGGTAACATTTCGGTAAATAAAAGTTCACACTAGTAAAAAAACATTATTTAAACTCGCACAATAGGCTTCAGTTTAGGCGAACCCGAAGCCTATCAAAACGCGGTGGCATTTTTGTAGTTTAGTCAAACTTATACGCTTCGGTTCAAAGCAAACCGAAGCATATAAGCTTTATTACCTCGGTTAGAGCACACAACTGATGCCTAATAACTTGCAATTCCACCTACCCCTCTACACAACAGACTTTTCAGCTTTTTGAGCCTGACCTACTGCCTCGGTTCACCCAGAACCGGTGTGAAAACGTGTTTAGGCCTCGGTTTAACTGCTAACCGAGGTAGTATCGTTCTAGGGGGTTAACAAATTTAACCTTTAGTTTTCTTCTTCCTCGTCCATTTCGCGCAGAACCTTTCCTCTCTCTGATTCTACCCCTAAATCTCATCCAATCTAAGGAAAGTTTGGATCTTCTTTCTGGTGCCAGTCAAGCAAGATCAACTCTGCGTCTCTCTCCTCGCCTTCCTCTGCCTTCGACCACATGCCGCAACTCCTCGCTCCCACGCCTTTCATCCTCGGCAAGCACATACGCACCGACAAATTTGGAGCTTCTACCACATGGCGTTTGCTTCTCGCTCCTCGCTCCTCGCTCCCACGCCTTTCATCCTCGGCAAGTGCATACGCACCGAAAAATTTGGAGCTCCTCGCTCCCTGCTCACCCTGATTTCAGACAAATTTGGAGCTTCGCCGCCGCCCCAGAAAAGGTCGTGCAGCCTACCGCTGTTTCCATGGGTCCCTCTACCCCGTCTGGACTGTGGCCCCTCCCTGCTCGCCCTGATTTCGGACAAATTTGGAGCTTTGCCACCGCTCCAGAAAAGGTCGTGCAGCCTGCCACCGTGTCGGTGTCGCAACAGTAGGCTCGCTCTTTGCTCATCACCAACGTCAGCAACAGTAGGCCATTGGAGAAGTGTCAGCGGCTAGGGTGGGGAATCACCTTTCAGGACATCTGAATTTGGTGGCTTGGTTGTCCGGCGGACCTGGGAATTCTTAGGGTTAGGTTATTTTTTGTTAGTTTTGAGTGGAAAAGTCCATCCTTTAAGAAATTGTTCATTTAGGGTTTTATTTTAGTTCCTGCTTATGAATTGGAAAATTAACTAGGTGCTAAGAAAGTTGGATAATTGTTTAAGATTTTGGGGCTTTTGTTGGAGGATGTGATGAAGTTATTACATACTGTGTGGAATTATGATGCTGAAATATTGAAGCTTGTCGGTGTGGATCACAAAATCAAAATCTATAATAGTTTGATCATTATAGATTTGAGTGTGCTCCGTAAAGCCTTGGCTATAATAGTTTGATCATTATAGTGAAATACTCTTCAATCTAAGGTTGATTGGGAGAGTGACTAGATGTAAGCATTGAGGCCAAACTAGGATAAAAATTGTGTTTGATCTTCTCTCCTTATCTCTTTACATTTCTAGTTTCATTGCATACATATTTGCTTACTGCACAAGAAAGATTTCAAGATCATTCATATTTGAGAAAAAGATTTAAAAAGTGCACAGTTTGATCATTTTTGAATGATTCATTTATTAAGTTTTCCTGGAGTTGTTTTCTACCAGAAATCAGATCCACTGAGTATGTAGAACTCCTTGAATCATATATACAATGGGACGTCGAGTGCTATAAGTATATAATGTAAAACTCCTTGAAGGATTTCTAAAAGAAATCCATTTTTATAGAATGCATGTTCATAAACGAAAACAAAAGCAAAAGAAATACATAATAACACTAAACAGGAAAAAAATTAAAACCTAACCACGAAAAGATCCACAGGATAATTAAAATGTAGAAGGATTTTGTGAATGGAGGTTGTAGCGTTTTGAAAGGGTGTGAAATCCAAATCTCTCAACCTTTTTCTTTGGATTTCTATTACTCCTTCAAGATTTTCACCATGCACAAAGAATCAAACCACAAGGAAATGACTCACTTTTGTGAACTTGAAAGAGTTGATAGAAAAACAAAGAAACAAGTTAACAGATTGTTATGAGATTTTCTTGCACTGGCTTTTACTACAATCCAAACTGACTTTTCTTGCACTTTGGACTTAAAACAGATTTGACAACAGCCAAGTTGCACCAAAAAAATGAACTTAGAATGGAGTTTTGAGATGTGGAAATGCACAAGAGTTGCTATAAGGTCAATTAATCAATTCCAACAACTTTTTATGATGAAAATAGAGTTGTCTAAGCTTGGAATTGGTACAAAAATAGCAGAATTCAGAATATGACCTCCTAACAGCCCATTATGCAGAGAAATAGGCAACCTCACACCCCAAACAGAGTTTCACTGAATCAAAATGCTAACCTCCCCTCAACACGTGCTTCAGTCCGCGCTTCGAACGACAGAAAGTCCCACAGCTCACCTCGTGCTTCAACCTTTTCCACATGCACATGCACCGGTAATTCACCCACCAAAACTCGTGCATCCACTCGAACAACAACGTCTTTCTGATTCCTAAAACACTCGCGCATCCACTCTTTCCCAACTATGAGACACGATCCCTAAAACACAAAATTCTCCCAATTTGATTTTGATTTCCCAATTGCAGAGAAAATGGATGCTTCAGCAAAAAGAACAATACCATTTTTCATCTTTGCCCTTTCTTTAATTAATTTCAACAAAAATTATAATATATTTACTTAATTCTTTAATTCTAAATTTTAAAAAATCGAATTCACACACGTTTTTATTGAACGTGTATTAAAAATGCAGTGTCACCAGGCCACGTCACACACTCATTAACACCGTTTGATGAAATTGATGGAAATGATTTATTTACATCAAATTAATAAAAATAAGAACTCAATTCAGACGCCAAAAAAGAAAGGACCTATTTGAAATTCAGGACGAAAATAGGAACCTATTTAAAATTCAGGACGAAAATAGGGATCTATTGAGATATTAAACCAATATTTAATGATTACCAACAGTTTAATTAAACAATCGTCAAAAATAATTTTAAATAAATAAATAAATGTTAGGAACGATTTTTGTTATAAACCACGTGAAATCGTCGAATTTTCGGTATTTCAAAAATAGTTAGAAAATAAATTTTTCTAAAATGTTTTATTTTTGTGGTGACAATATAAAAAATCATTAAATAATAACTAAATTTTGAGACAAAAATATTAATCATTATATTAACTAAGATAAACACTTATGAATTAAAAATTATTGGCATCTAAAACAATTTCTATTATTAATAAAAAAATATAATTAATTTATGGATTATAATCTAAATTTGTCACTATCATTATCTACTAAAATTTTAACGTCTATTTTTAAATTAAAATGAAGTTAAATTAGTGACTCACTTTGCATGAAAGATCATTTATCTTAGATACCACCGAATACAATTTTCTAGCAGGCATGCTTACATGATAAAAAAAAAATCATTTTCTAAGTCTCTCCTTACGTGTTATCACAATTTTAAAATCACTCTCAAATTATTTTTCTTAGAATACACAATATTTTTTGGGATGTGATCGTTGAATGTTCTCTAAATATCTATTTTATAATTTTCTTTTCTCTCAACAAGAAAGATGCATGTCTAAAGGGGTAACGTATTCACATTATACACAGTCAATGACTCTCATTCTTTCATACATTATTCAAGGAAACATGTTCATATGCAAACATGAGACAAGAATACAACCTAGACTCATTAAACCTATGTAACAAAAACAAATAAAAAGAGGAACGTTACCAACAGCCTTTCTTTTGTCTTTCATCCGGAAAATTCGTGCTCTCACAACAACTTGCCCCTTTTAATATTTGTTTGCATCATTTGACTTAGAAAACTGTGTTTAAATATACATATCAAACTGCATGAAATTGTTCTGTCAGACAAATAATTTACATATTCTTTGTGAAAGTCAAGATGATTACAAATAATTACAGATAAATTATTTTGATGTAAGACAAACCAATCAAATACTAATTCATACAATACTTCCTCTTTTCTTGTGGTAGATGGAAGTTGTTAGTGATGAAGTCAAATCACTTAATTTTCACTTAAATTATTCCAAAAGCAAGAAAAAAGACTAAGTTTCATAGAATACCTAAACTATTCTTAAACAATGCCACTTGCATTTCTATAATCTCTATAAATATCACTTCATTTTTCTTCACAATCACAGTTCTCCACAAGAATCAGACTCAAACAACAACTTCACAACTTTGATCTGAAATGAGTTTTCAAAAGGGTGTCGTCGTGTTTCTTCCAATCCTTCTTTCATTAGTGTTGCTACATCACCTTTTTCTCACTTCTGTCGTAAGGTAATACTCTTACTGATATGTTTTTACTTGTTATATATCATCACTTTCTATCAACAAATGATTTAAAATATAAATGTTAAATGGTCTTGTTTGATTGGGTTAAGAGATGTTAGACATCTGAACAAACATAGTATTTGATTGTTATTAGGGTTTTATTTATGTTTTAAAACAATATGATGATCAATTTTGTATAGAATCAATACTATTAGAAATTTCATATTTCATATATTGGTAAATTGTAGTAGATAAGTGAGAAAGTCTCATCTTAATAAACCGGTTTAGTTAAAATTAGTTAACATATGAGAGTTATTGGTAGTCTATTTTAATTGATATTTAACTTTATTGTATCGAGATCTATTGACTAGTATGTTGAAGATTATATAGAGTAAAGTTAAGATTAAATTAATAAAATATAAGTAAAACCAAACTTAACATTAATGATTTGATTTAGTGAGAATGAATTAAATTGAAAATCACTTCTTAATAAGACCAAAAGAACTTTTATATTCTTATTCTATTTACAATTTTTTTTATACAGTGCTCAAAGTGAAAATCTCACACGTCGCCTGCTTTCTATAGAAGATGATGAATTGTAAGTTACAAATAATTCAAATAATAATGTTATTTAGTTTATCATGTGTCTGAGGTGATTTTGTTTATGTGGCTTTTCTTAATATATTTAATAAATTATATTTTAATTCAATTAATTTAAAAATTACTAATTTTATAATTAATATTTTGTCATTTTTATATATATTTATTCTCAAATTATTTCAATCATGCTCTTCTACTTTTTGTTAGTAATAAATCTTGTATTTTACTATACCTTACATAATGAGATTTTTTTTTTATATGGAATGGAAGTGATACTGAAGCACAGTGTCCGGCAGATACTCAAACTGAGAACGCATTACAAACCGATGCAGAAATACAAAAGTATGTATTTTGTTTTACTAATATATCAATATATTTATCATATTAGGTATCTACAATGATATTTATTCAATTTTATTTTTCTGTTTAGTGTTAAATAAATATTTTTTAAAAAAAAAATTAACGAATTGAATGAATTAATTTTCCTATCAATAACTTCACATGATTATTTTTTTTATATTAGGTTAAAAATATCTACTATAAAAAATATCTATGCTTCAAAATCAATATCGATGATTGTGTATATATTGATGTATAAATTTTTAAATTTATTTGAGAGAGATTAATTGTGAATTTGGTGTGTGATAGAAAAGAAAGGTAGAGAATGACAAAGTAAAAAAAAAAAGATAATTAAATGATAGAAAAAAAGTAGAATGTAAAAATTACTGAATTTTTGTTAATACAACTGAGAGTGTTTTTTATAATTAGGTACTTAAATATCAATTATATATAATAAAGTTATTCAATCTTTTTTAATAGGACTCAAAACCGGCTTGTAACGCCGAGGTATATACATATCGACCGTGAGATTAGACATTAATGGGTGGTCCAATAGCGGCCCGATAATGGGTGGAACAATATGCCCAACAAACAACCAATAATGCTAGGATAGGCTCTAACCATAGCTCTAATACCATGTTAGAAGTGGACTTGAGGCCTAACTCATCCCCACAAAACCGGCTTGTAAGGTGAGGTCTGCACCCACTTATATACTTTAATTTGGCCTTATCTCTAGTCGATGTGGGACTTCCAACAAACAATTCACATTTATCACCAACTCAAACTTAGAAAAATGTGCTAAACAATTCTTAGAAAAATGTGCTAAACAATTCATATACAAAATCATTTACTTTTTTTTCATAATACTTAAAGCGATCCTCCCAATCCTCTATTTCAATCACCAATTTAAACTTTAAAATAATGTATAAAGCAATTTCAATTTTAAAGTGCAAAATTACTTTCTTAATAACATAAATATTAATTATATATATATAATACATGAACTTTATTACAATAGGACTTAAATTTATTTTTACACTTATCCATCTTTACCACGAAACTCAAAACAATGTGTTAAACAAGTTTTATCTTGAAATGCAAAAAAGTATTTTGTTAATAACTAAAATACTAATGATAAATCATTTGTCTATAAAAAAAATTATTGACCTTTTTTTCTTATAGGACTCAAAGTGAACTTCACACTTCTTTATTGCTATCACCAAGTCAAAGTCAGAAGAATGCACCAAACGATTCCAATATTGAAGTAAACAGGTATCTTGCAAAAAAAACACAAATATCAATTATATGCATTAAAAATTGTTAAATTTTTTTAATAGGACTCAAAATTATCTTTGCACTACCCTATTTCTATCAATAATTTAAACACAAAAGAATGTGTCAAGTAATTCAGATATTGAAATATAAAAATATCTAGCTAAAAAGAATGTGTCATTTATATAAAAAAATGTGTTGACTTTTGTTTGAATATAATTCAAAGTAATCTCACGTTCCTTTTATCTTCCCAATCAACTCAAACTCAGAAAAATGTATCAAGCAATTCGAATATCAAAATGCAAAATATATATTAATAATAGCCTAAATATAAATTATATACTTAAAAAATTAAAGACTTCTTTCAATATGTAAGACATACTGCTTCATCTGCACCACCAATTCAAACTTAGTTGTACATGTCAGAAGCAACTTCAATCTCAAAGTGCAAGAATATTTTCACAATAACTTAAGTATCAATTATATATTAAAAAATATTGTATCTTTTTTTTTTTCTAATAGAACTCAAAAACAACTCCAACTCAAACTCAAAAGAATGTGTCAAGAATTTTTAATCTCAAAATAAAAAAGTATTTTGCTAATGACTAAAATATATATTACATACCAATTATATATAAAAATCAATAACTTTTTTCATATGATTCAAAGCTATCCTCACACTCCTCCACTTCTAAGTTAGAAGAATGTGTAAAGCAATTTCAGTCTTGAAGTACAAAATAATCTTTTTAATAACTCAAATATAAATTGTACATAAAAAGTCATTGAATTTTTTTTAATCAAAATGCAAGTGATCCTCACAATCTCAAAATGCAAAAACATACTATTGATAACTAAAACATCAATTATATGTACAAATATGTTTGACTTACTTTTAAAAAGAGTCAAGTGATCCTAACACTCCTCCATGCTCACCACCAATTCTAACCTTCAAAAAGAATGTGCCAATCTATTTCAATCTTGAACTCTTGAGTGGATTTGAGGGGATTTGAGAGGATTTGAGGATAAATTTTTTTGTCGTTTATTTGAGTGAATTTGGAGGTAAATGAGAGTGGATTTGGAAGTAAAGTTTGTAAGAATTAATTAGTATAGAATTTTATTTAGTGACAAATTAAAAAAATTTACTTCCAAATCCATTCTCGTTTACCTCCAAATTAACTCAAATAAACGACAAAAAAAATTATCTTCAAATCTTCTCAAATCCCCTCAAATCGACTCCCTCAAATCCACTCAAGAGAACAAGGCTGAAGTGAAAATAATATTGGTCACTGAAATAATAGTTTTATATCAACTACAAATAAATTAACTGTTTTTTGTTTAAAGATTCAAAATGACCCTCACACTTCAAATACTAGTTATTTTAAGATTCACATTTACTGTCACAAAACGAAATTATATGTTACTAATAACTCAAATATTAATATATATTACTTATATATATATAATTACTAATTTTTTTAAAAGTATTATCAGTGATCCTTACATTCCTCCATTTCCACCAACAATTCAAATGGAGAGCGATGTGTCCATCAATTCCAATCTTGAAGTCAATTCCAATCCTGAAGTGCAAAGGTGAGTGCCTCATAACTTAAATATAAATTATATATCAATTTGAATTAAAAATTTGTTTTGTTTATTTTATTAGAATTAATTATAAAATTAATTATGTTTCTATTACTTTATTAGTTATATCAATAAAACTTTAATATATATATATTGATTGAACACAGAACGGGACTAATGCTATGGAGTGACTTCGGTTCACCCTAATTAAATAAATACTCTTTCAAAGTTTACTTTGACGTTAATACTTATTTAAATTGTATTATTTTTTAAAATTCAATATAAAAAAATCACACATCCATGTACATTGGATCTTATATGTGCTTATGCATTTATATAAAAAAATTCAATATTACTTTTTTATATGTGTTTTTATTTGTTCATTTATTTATTTCTCTGTCTCTTTCTATTGGTTGAAGCGCACTTCATTTTGCAAGAGAGTGGTTTTAATTATGTGAAAAGTAATTTGAGTAAATAATATAAATAAATGTTGAAAAAGTAAGAGAGTTAAAATTACTAACGAATTAATATTTTGCATGGATTGTTCAGGACTAAGGAATCTGCATCCAACGATAGAGTGCTCCACGATGAACTTTAATATAAATATTACTGTTCTTATCAAATATTTGACGGAGGTGGATGAAAAATTTTCTATAGCCAAAGCATTTATTTTAGTATTAAATACAAAGGTGCAGCGTCACTCATGTGGGAGAAGTGTGTATTTATTTTTTATTAATATTTAAATAATTTTTTAATAAGGGTAATTTTTTATCTACCATCCAGTTTTTCTCAGACATGTACTTCCCTTCATTTAGTTAGATTTCAACTTTAAAAGGTTACTGGATTTCGAAATTTAATCTAAAAAATTATCAAATTTCAAAATCTAATTAAAAAAATTTCAAAATCAAATTAAAAAATTTATAACAATTTAGAAAATTACCTTGATATCTAATTTAGAAAATCATCAAGTTTGAAAATCTGATATAAAAATTCACTTAATTTTAAAATTCAATTAGAAAGTTCATCAAATATTAAAATTCAATTAAAAAGTTATCAAATTTCAAAATTCTATACACACTTCTCCCAAATTTCAAAATCAATTCTTCTGAATTTCGAAATCCAGCTTACATTTCTCCCGTCTCAATAACCAGTTTTCTATCTTTATTCATTTAGTGAAATTCGGAATACTAATTAAAATCCAGTTCTCATTTTCTTTTCATTCTCTTTATTTATACATAATTAATATATATTAATTTATAATAAAAGTAAAATTAATGAAAATAATAATAATAATAATAATAATGATAATATACTGATGATAATAATAAAAATAAAGATACTGATATAATAATAACGATAATAATCATTATAATAACAAAAAATTATAATGATGATAATAATAATAATAATAGAAATAATTNGATTTGGAAGTAAAGTTTGTAAGAATTAATTAGTATAGAATTTTATTTAGTGACAAATTAAAAAAATTTACTTCCAAATCCATTCTCGTTTACCTCCAAATTAACTCAAATAAACGACAAAAAAAATTATCTTCAAATCTTCTCAAATCCCCTCAAATCGACTCCCTCAAATCCACTCAAGAGAACAAGGCTGAAGTGAAAATAATATTGGTCACTGAAATAATAGTTTTATATCAACTACAAATAAATTAACTGTTTTTTGTTTAAAGATTCAAAATGACCCTCACACTTCAAATACTAGTTATTTTAAGATTCACATTTACTGTCACAAAACGAAATTATATGTTACTAATAACTCAAATATTAATATATATTACTTATATATATATAATTACTAATTTTTTTAAAAGTATTATCAGTGATCCTTACATTCCTCCATTTCCACCAACAATTCAAATGGAGAGCGATGTGTCCATCAATTCCAATCTTGAAGTCAATTCCAATCCTGAAGTGCAAAGGTGAGTGCCTCATAACTTAAATATAAATTATATATCAATTTGAATTAAAAATTTGTTTTGTTTATTTTATTAGAATTAATTATAAAATTAATTATGTTTCTATTACTTTATTAGTTATATCAATAAAACTTTAATATATATATATTGATTGAACACAGAACGGGACTAATGCTATGGAGTGACTTCGGTTCACCCTAATTAAATAAATACTCTTTCAAAGTTTACTTTGACGTTAATACTTATTTAAATTGTATTATTTTTTAAAATTCAATATAAAAAAATCACACATCCATGTACATTGGATCTTATATGTGCTTATGCATTTATATAAAAAAATTCAATATTACTTTTTTATATGTGTTTTTATTTGTTCATTTATTTATTTCTCTGTCTCTTTCTATTGGTTGAAGCGCACTTCATTTTGCAAGAGAGTGGTTTTAATTATGTGAAAAGTAATTTGAGTAAATAATATAAATAAATGTTGAAAAAGTAAGAGAGTTAAAATTACTAACGAATTAATATTTTGCATGGATTGTTCAGGACTAAGGAATCTGCATCCAACGATAGAGTGCTCCACGATGAACTTTAATATAAATATTACTGTTCTTATCAAATATTTGACGGAGGTGGATGAAAAATTTTCTATAGCCAAAGCATTTATTTTAGTATTAAATACAAAGGTGCAGCGTCACTCATGTGGGAGAAGTGTGTATTTATTTTTTATTAATATTTAAATAATTTTTTAATAAGGGTAATTTTTTATCTACCATCCAGTTTTTCTCAGACATGTACTTCCCTTCATTTAGTTAGATTTCAACTTTAAAAGGTTACTGGATTTCGAAATTTAATCTAAAAAATTATCAAATTTCAAAATCTAATTAAAAAAATTTCAAAATCAAATTAAAAAATTTATAACAATTTAGAAAATTACCTTGATATCTAATTTAGAAAATCATCAAGTTTGAAAATCTGATATAAAAATTCACTTAATTTTAAAATTCAATTAGAAAGTTCATCAAATATTAAAATTCAATTAAAAAGTTATCAAATTTCAAAATTCTATACACACTTCTCCCAAATTTCAAAATCAATTCTTCTGAATTTCGAAATCCAGCTTACATTTCTCCCGTCTCAATAACCAGTTTTCTATCTTTATTCATTTAGTGAAATTCGGAATACTAATTAAAATCCAGTTCTCATTTTCTTTTCATTCTCTTTATTTATACATAATTAATATATATTAATTTATAATAAAAGTAAAATTAATGAAAATAATAATAATAATAATAATAATGATAATATACTGATGATAATAATAAAAATAAAGATACTGATATAATAATAACGATAATAATCATTATAATAACAAAAAATTATAATGATGATAATAATAATAATAATAGAAATAATTATAATAATGATAATAATTAAAATATTAATAAAAATAATAACCATTATATTAAAAATAAAATCATGATAACAATAATATTCATATAATCCTAATATAAAATAATAATAATAGTAAAAATAATGATAATGATGATGATAATAATAATAATAAAATAAAAATAATATTTTTAATAATAGTAATAAATATAATAATGATAATAATAAAAGTAATAGTATTGGTAATAATAAAAATAAAAATCATAATAATGATAATAATAATAGAGAGGATAATAAAAATAATACATAATAATAATAATAATACAAGTAATAATAATAATAATAATCATAATGGTAATAATAATAATAACAATAAAACTAATGATAATAATGATAATAATTAATTATAATAATAGTAATAATAATAAAGATGATAATAATAATAAATAATAATAACAAAAGTAAAATAAAAAAATTATGACAATAATAATAATGATAATACTAAAAGAAAATATTATTATTAATAATAATTCTATTTTATTTATTTTTATTATTCTTATTATTATCGTTTGATATAGGTTAATTAGTACAAAAAAAGAGATAAAAAAAATGAGAATCGGATTCTAATTAGTGTTGCGTTGTAAAAACAATAAAAAAATTAGATTTCGAGATTCGGAAGAAATGTAAGCAGGATTTTAAATTTTGAAAAAATTGAATATTGAATTTAAAAATTTGGAAGAAGTGACTTTGATTTGAAAATTTGTATAGTTGAATCGAATTTTAAAATTTGATGAATTTTATAATTAAATTTTAAAATTTGGTGATTTTTTTAATTAAATTTCAAAATTTGATGAGTTTTACAATCTGATAAATTTTTTATTTAGATTTTGAAATAAGAATTTTAGATTTTCAAAAAAGAATAAAAAAAAGGTAAATTAAACTCCTTGAGTCCAAGTAAGAGATTATGTTCCATAAGAATTTATAAACCTTACTTTGATATTTATTTAAGTTTACAATGTCACTTATTCTTGACTTCCTAATGCAATTGTTGCATTAGCTTATTGCAATGCATGTCCCATAAGCACGTACATATCCGTCATGATCTTTTTTGTTTTCATATCCACCAAACTCCCTCTCACCACTTTTAAGATTCCACCTTCAATGTCAATCTTACACCTTAGGTCATATAATTGTCCAATAAACAATAGATTCTTCTTCAAGTCTTTCACATGTCGTACCCCTTAAAGTATGTGAAAAATATCATCATATAATTTTATTTTGACAATACCGACTCCAACAATCTCTAAGGCATGATCATTCCCCATTTACATCGATCTACAAGAGATAGGTTCATAAATATCGGTTTGAAGTCATGTGTCAAGTTGTACCTAAATCCACTATCCACCTATCATGTAGTTGTCTTCCTCCATTAGAGTTAATTTCTTCTTAGGTCACCTAAATATCTTTGTCCTCCGAGGTACTTGCAACACAACCTTGTGTGGTTGATGCTTCACAGTTCTTTCCTCCACTCTTCTAGTACCAACAATCTCTATTGACATACCCTAATTGCAACAACGGTAGCATTTAAAATGCTTTTTACTTTGAGACTTTGATCTATTATGATTTTGACTCCTACTAGATTCATATTTTGTTGATCTACCTCTCGTCATTTTCAAAGCCTCTGTTTGCTTTAAACTTTCCACATATCTACTTTGCTCTTTTGCCCAAATTCTTCTTCAAGAATAATTTTAGAAACATCCTCAATGTTTTAACTTATGATTGAGTTGATCATATAAATTAGGCAAAACTCTGAAGTAGAACCTTTGCACATTCATTTTCAATTATGTTGTAATTTTTTGCTGAAAGTTGGACAAATAACATATTGAGATTGTTGATGTGGTTTGTCACTAATATGGACTCACTCATTTAAAGAGTATATAATTTTCTCTTCAAGAATATTCTTGTGTGAAGTGACTTGACCTCGTGCAATTTGATGAGAGAAACCATCTCCTTCATTGTAGTTTTCTTCGTTGTGCTAGATAAAACTACATATGCCAATGCTAAATGCAAATTTACAACAACATTAAATTTACAACAACATTATCATTCATTTCCTTCCAATTTTGATTTGTGATGCTTACAAGTTTTTCTTCAATCGTTGCTAAACAATTGTCTTTTCTCAAAATTTCCTTCATCTTCAATTTCCACAATAAGAAAATATTACCATTGAAATTCTCTATCTCATATTTTTTCGCCATGGCTTTAAAATTGACTTATGTACTTCTCACTATGAATAGTGTTGTCTAGTAGAACAATGCGCGTAGACTGTGAACTAGTGCACCAGGTAATTCTTAGGAAAGAGAGGTGGGTCACTAATGGACACACTTAAATACCAAGTCTTTCCTAGCTAAAACTTTCCTAAACATTGATATGTGCCCAACATGAGTTAGTTTTAACGATAATTTGGCACTTATCTTGTTTTGATTATGTTAAATATTTATGTTAATCACCCCAATTGTACTTGTTTGTAGGTTTTGATGAATTTTGAGAGTCAAAGTTGAATTATGAAGAAAATAGAGAAATTATGAGCAAAATACACTAAACTGACTTTAGCACAATTGCAGCGTGAAATCTATGACTTGAGCCACACGAAGAAAACTCACCTTGGAAGGAATCCACAAGTCCTAACTTGAGGCTTAAGCCGTGAAGAATTTTTCACCTAGAAGTAATCTCACAAGGCTCCAACCTAGAAACACAAAGCTTAAGCCATAGAGGAAACCCACCTTGGAAGAAAACCTCACGGTTGGAGTCATGGATGCCACCGCTAAAACCACACTGTTAAAGTCTATAAAAGTAGGATTTCACCTCTATTTTTGAAGAACTTTTGAGAGACTCCTTAAGAGAGATTTAGAAAAATACTTTAGAAAGTCCTCTCATACACTTCCTTTGTATTTTAAAGTACATCATTAGAGAACTAGAATATGGAGTTTCTTCCATGTGTTAACTTTTTTCCATCCATTATGAGGAGCTAAATCCCCTAGGTATTAAAGTAAGATGTAAAGTACTTTGAACTCTCTTGTATTTGGTACTATTTTTATTTATGAATGTTTAATTTTGATCACACGTTTGTGAATTGATTTATGCTTATTGTTAGATGAACTGATCACTCATCTTATTTCATTAACTTGAGATTGAGTGGAAATTAGTTTCAAGTTGTGGTCCAATCAATTCTCATGTATGCTTTTAGATTATAGGAATAAATATAAGGTTGCAGTTGGAAATAGAATCTTGATCTTAATGTAGGTGATCCATCAAAGCAATCACTGAGGAATTATATTGAAGTTTGGCAATCCTAGTCTTTAGGTGCTAGGAATGGACTTGGAGTTACATTTAAAGAGAACTCCTAGGACTTGATCATTTGTAGCGCATAAATCTGGTACAAAAAAGGGACAAAGTGGTGGAGTCAAACTTCAACACGTTTTAATCATATGAAAGTCACTCATTTTGTAATCCAAAATGTTTTTCAACATCTTTTACTCTTATTTTCACGAAACAAATTTGGTTTCTACATCTTACAATCGTTGTTATTTGTTTTATCAATGATCAAGCTAGTTAGAACATTGTTTTTTCTGTCAAATCCATGTGGATACGACACTTGATATATTACAAAAATATCTAGTGTATTTGCTGGTATATTTGGTTACTATATGGACACCCTTCAAACATGCATTTTCACACTACCACAATATATCCACTAACACAACACTATTGTAATGACAGTACCAATGAAATATGATCAAATGAACCAATGGCTTTTATTCCATTATTGGGTATTAGAATCATAGCACAAGTGCTAACAACTAAAATAAAAGATAAAATGAAAGGAAAAAAAAGGCAAAACAAGTAATTTTATTAAAAGAAAGAAAGTTACATCCCCGAGGAGAGAACAATGACAACCTCGGTCTTGGAAATGGGAAAAGCTAAGTATAAGAAAAACCTTAAAGGAAAAAGTAATATTCTCTCTTAATTTTTCTCTCAGATAATAAAGCAAAAAAAAAAAAAAAAGGAAGAGATTTTAGAATGTATTCCTAAAGAAACAATGGATCATTTTATAACATGAAAAGTAAACTCCAAGATAAGTTCCCAACGATGAGAGACTTCTCAAGGTAAGTTCAAATTGATGCAAAACTTCTTTTCACAATTCATGACAATTTAGCAAGTTATTTGTAGAGGTGAAAATAGATAATTATGGACTTAAATTGTCATTTACCATTCTAACATAGATATGTTGCAATTGGTGTTATAGGTTGAAATTAGGTGTTGTTTCTTGATAGGAAAAAATTATACATGGAAGCTACTTAACCATTTAGTTTTTCTTTCTTTTTTACATTATTTTGTGGATGGATAATGATGGTATGAATGAAGTTGAAAACATGGAAATGGATAAGATGAATATTAACATTGTTCTGATTTTTATATATGAAATATTTTGTAGAACAATTTCTTTCTATAGCAAGCTATAACTAGAGACGTGTTGGAAAATGTCTCTTAATTCCCATCTAATTTGTTGAACTTATTAACGATATGACATTATCATTTTTCTCTTGTGGTAATATCTTAAATAATATAAGGATAATGATACTTTGACAATATTTTTTTGACAACATTTTAATATCATCTATGTGTCATTCTGTTATTGGTCCAAAATTACTCCACAATCAATAATAATCATAAATACCAACATAAATCAATTATAGAATGACACGTAGACGGTGTTCAAATGTTATAAAAAAAATGTTGTCAAATATCATTATGATAATATAATAGAGGGTTAACTGTTTAATGAACTTAATAGCAACTAATCAACAATACAGGATTGTTTGAGATAAAAAAATAATAATAATAACACTTTTGACTTGTCTTTCCGCGTAAGTCATAGCTTATAAAAAACCATTATCTTAGACATACCAACTAGTACAAATTTTCTAACAGCCTTGATTACATGATAAAAAAATCATTTTCAAAGCCTTGCCTTAAATTATCACAATTTTTAAATCATTCTCAAATGATTTTCTTGGAATAGATATTATTTTTTTTATGTTGATATGAGTAAAAAATGTTGTAGTACGATATGCAAAAGAATAGGAAAGAGAGAGCCACGATTAAAATAATAATAATAATAATAATAATAATAATAATAATAGTAATAATTTATTTTCTAGATCTTTTGGGATGTGATTTGAATGTTCTCTAAATATCTATTTTATAACTTTTGGTTTCTCTCCAAAAAAAAATTCAAACTTATTTTGAAATTTGAAAGTTGAATGTTTCTTGAATAACTGAGGAGAAACATGTATAAAAGGAGAACGTGTTCACATTATATATAGTCAATGACTCTCGCTCTTTCATACATTATTCAAACATGATAAAAATATAGAACTTAGACTCATTAAAACCTCTGTAACAAAAATAAATTAAAAGAGAAATCGCGTTACGAACATCTTTTTATTCGTCTTTTATCTGGAAAATCCGTGTTCTAACAACAAATTGCCCCTTTAATATTTGTTTACATTTGACTAAGAAAAGTGTGTTTAAATATATATGTCAAATTACATCCAATTATTCAGTCAGCCAAATAGTTACATTTTTCTTTTGTCAAAATAAAAAGTATTTATTTTGATATTAGATAAACCAATCAAATACTAATTCATACTTTTTTAAACAATACGAAACATAGGAAGTTGAATTTATACAAATATCATAAATTTATACCAATAACATAAGTTTAGATTAACGTAACTTTCACCTCAAACTCTTAAAATAATATATATATTTTNGCCTAAATATAAATTATATACTTAAAAAATTAAAGACTTCTTTCAATATGTAAGACATACTGCTTCATCTGCACCACCAATTCAAACTTAGTTGTACATGTCAGAAGCAACTTCAATCTCAAAGTGCAAGAATATTTTCACAATAACTTAAGTATCAATTATATATTAAAAAATATTGTATCTTTTTTTTTTTCTAATAGAACTCAAAAACAACTCCAACTCAAACTCAAAAGAATGTGTCAAGAATTTTTAATCTCAAAATAAAAAAGTATTTTGCTAATGACTAAAATATATATTACATACCAATTATATATAAAAATCAATAACTTTTTTCATATGATTCAAAGCTATCCTCACACTCCTCCACTTCTAAGTTAGAAGAATGTGTAAAGCAATTTCAGTCTTGAAGTACAAAATAATCTTTTTAATAACTCAAATATAAATTGTACATAAAAAGTCATTGAATTTTTTTTAATCAAAATGCAAGTGATCCTCACAATCTCAAAATGCAAAAACATACTATTGATAACTAAAACATCAATTATATGTACAAATATGTTTGACTTACTTTTAAAAAGAGTCAAGTGATCCTAACACTCCTCCATGCTCACCACCAATTCTAACCTTCAAAAAGAATGTGCCAATCTATTTCAATCTTGAACTCTTGAGTGGATTTGAGGGGATTTGAGAGGATTTGAGGATAAATTTTTTTGTCGTTTATTTGAGTGAATTTGGAGGTAAATGAGAGTGGATTTGGAAGTAAAGTTTGTAAGAATTAATTAGTATAGAATTTTATTTAGTGACAAATTAAAAAAATTTACTTCCAAATCCATTCTCGTTTACCTCCAAATTAACTCAAATAAACGACAAAAAAAATTATCTTCAAATCTTCTCAAATCCCCTCAAATCGACTCCCTCAAATCCACTCAAGAGAACAAGGCTGAAGTGAAAATAATATTGGTCACTGAAATAATAGTTTTATATCAACTACAAATAAATTAACTGTTTTTTGTTTAAAGATTCAAAATGACCCTCACACTTCAAATACTAGTTATTTTAAGATTCACATTTACTGTCACAAAACGAAATTATATGTTACTAATAACTCAAATATTAATATATATTACTTATATATATATAATTACTAATTTTTTTAAAAGTATTATCAGTGATCCTTACATTCCTCCATTTCCACCAACAATTCAAATGGAGAGCGATGTGTCCATCAATTCCAATCTTGAAGTCAATTCCAATCCTGAAGTGCAAAGGTGAGTGCCTCATAACTTAAATATAAATTATATATCAATTTGAATTAAAAATTTGTTTTGTTTATTTTATTAGAATTAATTATAAAATTAATTATGTTTCTATTACTTTATTAGTTATATCAATAAAACTTTAATATATATATATTGATTGAACACAGAACGGGACTAATGCTATGGAGTGACTTCGGTTCACCCTAATTAAATAAATACTCTTTCAAAGTTTACTTTGACGTTAATACTTATTTAAATTGTATTATTTTTTAAAATTCAATATAAAAAAATCACACATCCATGTACATTGGATCTTATATGTGCTTATGCATTTATATAAAAAAATTCAATATTACTTTTTTATATGTGTTTTTATTTGTTCATTTATTTATTTCTCTGTCTCTTTCTATTGGTTGAAGCGCACTTCATTTTGCAAGAGAGTGGTTTTAATTATGTGAAAAGTAATTTGAGTAAATAATATAAATAAATGTTGAAAAAGTAAGAGAGTTAAAATTACTAACGAATTAATATTTTGCATGGATTGTTCAGGACTAAGGAATCTGCATCCAACGATAGAGTGCTCCACGATGAACTTTAATATAAATATTACTGTTCTTATCAAATATTTGACGGAGGTGGATGAAAAATTTTCTATAGCCAAAGCATTTATTTTAGTATTAAATACAAAGGTGCAGCGTCACTCATGTGGGAGAAGTGTGTATTTATTTTTTATTAATATTTAAATAATTTTTTAATAAGGGTAATTTTTTATCTACCATCCAGTTTTTCTCAGACATGTACTTCCCTTCATTTAGTTAGATTTCAACTTTAAAAGGTTACTGGATTTCGAAATTTAATCTAAAAAATTATCAAATTTCAAAATCTAATTAAAAAAATTTCAAAATCAAATTAAAAAATTTATAACAATTTAGAAAATTACCTTGATATCTAATTTAGAAAATCATCAAGTTTGAAAATCTGATATAAAAATTCACTTAATTTTAAAATTCAATTAGAAAGTTCATCAAATATTAAAATTCAATTAAAAAGTTATCAAATTTCAAAATTCTATACACACTTCTCCCAAATTTCAAAATCAATTCTTCTGAATTTCGAAATCCAGCTTACATTTCTCCCGTCTCAATAACCAGTTTTCTATCTTTATTCATTTAGTGAAATTCGGAATACTAATTAAAATCCAGTTCTCATTTTCTTTTCATTCTCTTTATTTATACATAATTAATATATATTAATTTATAATAAAAGTAAAATTAATGAAAATAATAATAATAATAATAATAATGATAATATACTGATGATAATAATAAAAATAAAGATACTGATATAATAATAACGATAATAATCATTATAATAACAAAAAATTATAATGATGATAATAATAATAATAATAGAAATAATTATAATAATGATAATAATTAAAATATTAATAAAAATAATAACCATTATATTAAAAATAAAATCATGATAACAATAATATTCATATAATCCTAATATAAAATAATAATAATAGTAAAAATAATGATAATGATGATGATAATAATAATAATAAAATAAAAATAATATTTTTAATAATAGTAATAAATATAATAATGATAATAATAAAAGTAATAGTATTGGTAATAATAAAAATAAAAATCATAATAATGATAATAATAATAGAGAGGATAATAAAAATAATACATAATAATAATAATAATACAAGTAATAATAATAATAATAATCATAATGGTAATAATAATAATAACAATAAAACTAATGATAATAATGATAATAATTAATTATAATAATAGTAATAATAATAAAGATGATAATAATAATAAATAATAATAACAAAAGTAAAATAAAAAAATTATGACAATAATAATAATGATAATACTAAAAGAAAATATTATTATTAATAATAATTCTATTTTATTTATTTTTATTATTCTTATTATTATCGTTTGATATAGGTTAATTAGTACAAAAAAAGAGATAAAAAAAATGAGAATCGGATTCTAATTAGTGTTGCGTTGTAAAAACAATAAAAAAATTAGATTTCGAGATTCGGAAGAAATGTAAGCAGGATTTTAAATTTTGAAAAAATTGAATATTGAATTTAAAAATTTGGAAGAAGTGACTTTGATTTGAAAATTTGTATAGTTGAATCGAATTTTAAAATTTGATGAATTTTATAATTAAATTTTAAAATTTGGTGATTTTTTTAATTAAATTTCAAAATTTGATGAGTTTTACAATCTGATAAATTTTTTATTTAGATTTTGAAATAAGAATTTTAGATTTTCAAAAAAGAATAAAAAAAAGGTAAATTAAACTCCTTGAGTCCAAGTAAGAGATTATGTTCCATAAGAATTTATAAACCTTACTTTGATATTTATTTAAGTTTACAATGTCACTTATTCTTGACTTCCTAATGCAATTGTTGCATTAGCTTATTGCAATGCATGTCCCATAAGCACGTACATATCCGTCATGATCTTTTTTGTTTTCATATCCACCAAACTCCCTCTCACCACTTTTAAGATTCCACCTTCAATGTCAATCTTACACCTTAGGTCATATAATTGTCCAATAAACAATAGATTCTTCTTCAAGTCTTTCACATGTCGTACCCCTTAAAGTATGTGAAAAATATCATCATATAATTTTATTTTGACAATACCGACTCCAACAATCTCTAAGGCATGATCATTCCCCATTTACATCGATCTACAAGAGATAGGTTCATAAATATCGGTTTGAAGTCATGTGTCAAGTTGTACCTAAATCCACTATCCACCTATCATGTAGTTGTCTTCCTCCATTAGAGTTAATTTCTTCTTAGGTCACCTAAATATCTTTGTCCTCCGAGGTACTTGCAACACAACCTTGTGTGGTTGATGCTTCACAGTTCTTTCCTCCACTCTTCTAGTACCAACAATCTCTATTGACATACCCTAATTGCAACAACGGTAGCATTTAAAATGCTTTTTACTTTGAGACTTTGATCTATTATGATTTTGACTCCTACTAGATTCATATTTTGTTGATCTACCTCTCGTCATTTTCAAAGCCTCTGTTTGCTTTAAACTTTCCACATATCTACTTTGCTCTTTTGCCCAAATTCTTCTTCAAGAATAATTTTAGAAACATCCTCAATGTTTTAACTTATGATTGAGTTGATCATATAAATTAGGCAAAACTCTGAAGTAGAACCTTTGCACATTCATTTTCAATTATGTTGTAATTTTTTGCTGAAAGTTGGACAAATAACATATTGAGATTGTTGATGTGGTTTGTCACTAATATGGACTCACTCATTTAAAGAGTATATAATTTTCTCTTCAAGAATATTCTTGTGTGAAGTGACTTGACCTCGTGCAATTTGATGAGAGAAACCATCTCCTTCATTGTAGTTTTCTTCGTTGTGCTAGATAAAACTACATATGCCAATGCTAAATGCAAATTTACAACAACATTAAATTTACAACAACATTATCATTCATTTCCTTCCAATTTTGATTTGTGATGCTTACAAGTTTTTCTTCAATCGTTGCTAAACAATTGTCTTTTCTCAAAATTTCCTTCATCTTCAATTTCCACAATAAGAAAATATTACCATTGAAATTCTCTATCTCATATTTTTTCGCCATGGCTTTAAAATTGACTTATGTACTTCTCACTATGAATAGTGTTGTCTAGTAGAACAATGCGCGTAGACTGTGAACTAGTGCACCAGGTAATTCTTAGGAAAGAGAGGTGGGTCACTAATGGACACACTTAAATACCAAGTCTTTCCTAGCTAAAACTTTCCTAAACATTGATATGTGCCCAACATGAGTTAGTTTTAACGATAATTTGGCACTTATCTTGTTTTGATTATGTTAAATATTTATGTTAATCACCCCAATTGTACTTGTTTGTAGGTTTTGATGAATTTTGAGAGTCAAAGTTGAATTATGAAGAAAATAGAGAAATTATGAGCAAAATACACTAAACTGACTTTAGCACAATTGCAGCGTGAAATCTATGACTTGAGCCACACGAAGAAAACTCACCTTGGAAGGAATCCACAAGTCCTAACTTGAGGCTTAAGCCGTGAAGAATTTTTCACCTAGAAGTAATCTCACAAGGCTCCAACCTAGAAACACAAAGCTTAAGCCATAGAGGAAACCCACCTTGGAAGAAAACCTCACGGTTGGAGTCATGGATGCCACCGCTAAAACCACACTGTTAAAGTCTATAAAAGTAGGATTTCACCTCTATTTTTGAAGAACTTTTGAGAGACTCCTTAAGAGAGATTTAGAAAAATACTTTAGAAAGTCCTCTCATACACTTCCTTTGTATTTTAAAGTACATCATTAGAGAACTAGAATATGGAGTTTCTTCCATGTGTTAACTTTTTTCCATCCATTATGAGGAGCTAAATCCCCTAGGTATTAAAGTAAGATGTAAAGTACTTTGAACTCTCTTGTATTTGGTACTATTTTTATTTATGAATGTTTAATTTTGATCACACGTTTGTGAATTGATTTATGCTTATTGTTAGATGAACTGATCACTCATCTTATTTCATTAACTTGAGATTGAGTGGAAATTAGTTTCAAGTTGTGGTCCAATCAATTCTCATGTATGCTTTTAGATTATAGGAATAAATATAAGGTTGCAGTTGGAAATAGAATCTTGATCTTAATGTAGGTGATCCATCAAAGCAATCACTGAGGAATTATATTGAAGTTTGGCAATCCTAGTCTTTAGGTGCTAGGAATGGACTTGGAGTTACATTTAAAGAGAACTCCTAGGACTTGATCATTTGTAGCGCATAAATCTGGTACAAAAAAGGGACAAAGTGGTGGAGTCAAACTTCAACACGTTTTAATCATATGAAAGTCACTCATTTTGTAATCCAAAATGTTTTTCAACATCTTTTACTCTTATTTTCACGAAACAAATTTGGTTTCTACATCTTACAATCGTTGTTATTTGTTTTATCAATGATCAAGCTAGTTAGAACATTGTTTTTTCTGTCAAATCCATGTGGATACGACACTTGATATATTACAAAAATATCTAGTGTATTTGCTGGTATATTTGGTTACTATATGGACACCCTTCAAACATGCATTTTCACACTACCACAATATATCCACTAACACAACACTATTGTAATGACAGTACCAATGAAATATGATCAAATGAACCAATGGCTTTTATTCCATTATTGGGTATTAGAATCATAGCACAAGTGCTAACAACTAAAATAAAAGATAAAATGAAAGGAAAAAAAAGGCAAAACAAGTAATTTTATTAAAAGAAAGAAAGTTACATCCCCGAGGAGAGAACAATGACAACCTCGGTCTTGGAAATGGGAAAAGCTAAGTATAAGAAAAACCTTAAAGGAAAAAGTAATATTCTCTCTTAATTTTTCTCTCAGATAATAAAGCAAAAAAAAAAAAAAAAGGAAGAGATTTTAGAATGTATTCCTAAAGAAACAATGGATCATTTTATAACATGAAAAGTAAACTCCAAGATAAGTTCCCAACGATGAGAGACTTCTCAAGGTAAGTTCAAATTGATGCAAAACTTCTTTTCACAATTCATGACAATTTAGCAAGTTATTTGTAGAGGTGAAAATAGATAATTATGGACTTAAATTGTCATTTACCATTCTAACATAGATATGTTGCAATTGGTGTTATAGGTTGAAATTAGGTGTTGTTTCTTGATAGGAAAAAATTATACATGGAAGCTACTTAACCATTTAGTTTTTCTTTCTTT